CTCTCTCTCTCTCTTGCTCTCGCTCGCGCTCGCTCGCTCGCTCGCTTTCTTGAGTAACGTATATTTTTGCAAAATTTGAAATTTTAATTGCGTTTTTCTCTCGGTACATGAAGTAAAAAATAATAAGCAGATACGAAATGCACTTATTGTTAGTACGAAGTACTTCACATAACAAAGAAAGTATCATTTATTGATCAAAACGACAAATTATGCGAGCTCTGCGCAAATCAGATCATCGTAAAGAATACTCAATATTCTCTATATCTCGATATATTATTAAGATATCATTAACTCATGCCACGAGTTATTCATGAAGTGCGATTATCCATTTTATCTATGTATTTTTCCCCAATCAATGTGTGTTTATTACATACCTTTTATATGTATTTATTATCAAAAACTTGACTTATTGAGTCTTTTTATTATTAATGCCCTTATCATATGCAAACTTAAATATACGTTTTTCATTATGAAATGTTTTTAAAACTTTTTATAGATAATATATATACATATATATGTATATTAATATAATAATATAATATATACATATAATAGACTTACAATTAGATAAAAAAGAAATACATGAGCATGCGCCGAACTTGTTGTTATTAACAACATCTTTTTTAAAATTTTTACAAATTTATAAGTGACCAGTATAATCCGTCACTGTTTACTTGCCATTTTATAAGTATTTGACTATCTCTTCGTCCAATATTATTCAATTATTAATAATTCACGAATATTCGAACGAGATCTGGTTGCGCCGCAAGCTCGTGGCACTTTTCGATAAGTATAAAAAATCGACGATTATACATGCACGTTATCGTAAATCAATTATTAACGATAAGACTATATATTATACCATCTAAAGCGGCGTGCGTGTTACATTGTCAATATTCATAACGTTATACCGCGCGATTATATGATCATCATTCGTGTTCATAAAAAAAATTCCTATCCCGTCGCAACCTCTGTTATTATATTCAAAATCACTCTTGTTCATTATTCATTAATTATGTATGTTTTCGATAAATTTTCTATCATGCTATCATATTTTGTACAATTTTTGTAATAGACAATATATTCGCCAAAAGTAAGAATATCGTTGTGAACATATGACAACGATGCAGAACTGTTTTATAATCGAACAAAACATTTTCCGGTTATTGTCACTATTTCGACGTCTTAATCCCAATCTTTTATTACTTTCTGCTTGCGTTCAACGACACTGACATTTTGTAGTTAACGATACTGTACATAAAAAGATGATCATGTGTGTATATATAATTATATCTGTATCTGTACGTTACTTAGATTTAAATTATAGGCTGTAATCGAATTTAGGAGTCAGCGCAGCGAAAGCGAAAAACGGATCCATTTCGTGTTGAAATCTACGATTAATATCAACGATCATACTCGCGGATCGGTCAATCCGAAATTGCAATGCCTAATGCTACTTTAAACACGTACGTTCATCCTCAATTATTTATTGGGAAACGACGATAAGTTTTGCTTAACATCTAGTCATTAGATCGTTAGTTTGACCTGAATTTGTGTGATTAAAATAACGGAACAATATTTTACAATTTTTTAATTTAAATTATTTATGAAAATCCTCTTTGAGAAATAAACTTTGAGAAATAGAGACTTTAAATTTCATCAGAATTCACGATTTATTGCATGAATGCGCTACAATTCTCTGCAACCTTTTCTTTATTGCATAATGTTCTAAAGAAGCTATTATTCTGGCAAGAATATTTTGAAAAACATATATATTATATTTTAAGGTTTTATAATTTTATTATTATATTTTTCGTATATATATCATTATGGCATATTTTTCAGACACAGATTCAGGCCATTTTATGCCTAAATTAAGCGAATTCAAGTTAGATTTAATATTAATTTCCTTGCTAAACAAGTATTTTTGATCGACATTCCCTTAAATGATATAAGATCGTAATTGCACCATATGACCGATAGGATATCTCCTCTATAGATTTCTGTGAGCAATTCATTCTTTATTTGTTGTCTTATAACAAATACAATTAATATATGTATTAATATATTTTATAATTACTTTTTTCTGCATACGCACTGAAAAAAAAATATCATGGCAAATCTCAAACTGCAAATCTTATTGATGAGATTGTTATTTAAGATCACTCATTTCTTACAATAAAAAATTGTAACAATCATGTATCCAGTATGATTTGTAAACTTCTTTTTATTTGCAAACAATTGTAAACAAGATAAAAATTGATATGATGTACGCTATGATATAAATCGATATGACATATATATATACTAAAATATGAAAGTTGGACTTTTAGTTCTACAAAGATTGCACCGAAAATGATGATTGCTATCGATCGATGCTATAAATAACGATAGCAACGAGCATATATATAAATTTAGCAATGAATGTTATTAGAATTGTCGTTTCAAAGATGGATCAAAGATTGACATTTTAAAGCGAAAAGCTGAAATAAACTTTTACCTCTACAAGGTATCCTTAAATTGCCAGGATCTTGGCGAAACATCGATCTAGCTAGAGTTTTCGCAGAAAAATAAAGAAATGTTCGTAGAACTATTTGATGTATATCTTCTCTGCTTGTAAATCCTTAGATTTTTGCAAATTAGCAATCCTGATTTTCAGTACAATCTTCGTGTTAAAGTATAAGAATTTTTCTAAACTTTATAATGAATTAATATATTCTTTGATGTCGTGATATTTTATGTATTGCATATAATGCTCTCACTTACATTGTTTTTATGTTTGTACGTCTTTTCAGAAAATCAATGTTGCAAGAAATAATTTAATAAGCGAACAATTTTAGTCTTTGTCTGATCAGTTACTCTGATAATAGTTCAATCATAACAATGTAATGTTAGTCACATATATAAGTTTACATTGAAAACACATCGTTTTCTGCGACTATACATATACATCTTCCATTCAATTTGTATAAATGCCATTCGTTGAATTGTCACCTTGAATCGGATCAAATATATTGGAATTATTGTACATAAAATAGGCTCAATCATGTAAAAGCCACAGAAAATCAGCAATTACAATTATTGTAGAAACGAAGATGTCTTACGAAATAAACTGCAAATTAACAGAATTACTTTGATTTTTTATTGCTATTTTGTGATCGATATTTACGTTTTATTTTGCAAGTATTTACATCGGTGTTCATGTAAATGCCAGGATAAATTAACAAAAGGATGAAAAATATGAATATACATACTTGGCAAAATATCTTATTTACAGTGGATGACGATAGGCTATATAGAGTATTATCATTTACAATTATTGTTAATATTCATATTCATTGGTATAGTTACCAATTTAAAATCAAAATCAATTTTGAAAAAATTTGATTTTATTCTTTATAAGAGAAATAATAACAAGTACGCAAATGCGTGTGTAATCGAAAATTCTATAATTTCGACATTTTATCTACCTGCTAGCGATTCTCTAATTTTTTTATTGATCCAACGACGATAATAAGCTACACGAACATAAACTCCAGGTCTGTTCGCTTTGCCGCAATGCTGACCCCAACTAGTTATCCCGTACAAACTGAAAGCTCCTAATATAAAAAAGAATATGAAAATATTTTAACAATTACTACTAACTATTACTACAAATATTATTTAACTTAAAATTTAATATTTTCTTTTTAAAGTAAAATTCACAAACTTTAATTTTTAGTAAAAAATTAAAATTATACTCTTTCCAGATATGGAAATTTTATAATATTTTCTAAATTTTGCTACCAAATCTATATTACATAAATGAATTTTTGTAATTCTCTAACTGCATTTTATAAATATTATTTATAAAAAATTTATTTTTGTCGTTACCCAATCGAACCATTGATTTTTTATTAATTTCATTCGTTATATGTTTATTATTTCAACATTAAGTACCATTGTGATAACATGCCAGAGGACCTCCAGAATCGCCATCGCATGTGTCGATACCTTCATTAAGATATCCCGCACACATCATTCCGTCGCTTATGGCACCTTCACCATAAACATAATCAGCTCGGCAAATTGACTGATCTAACAAGGGCACCCAGCCATATCGCAAATTTTTTGATTGTACTGCAAAAGAATCTAATGCATCCTACGAAATTCAGTTTAAAATAATTATATAATCTTCAATATTTTACTTACCCGTTTTGCCCATTTCAATACTGCCAAATCCGCTGATCGTGCAATTTAATCCGGGTGAATATTCGGCATTCTCAGTCGGCAAGCAAATTGGCATGATATCTTTGCCAAGCGGGATGCCGAGGCCTTTAAGTAGAATCAAAGCGATGTCATTGTTCATTCTGTGGCCTTTACGAAATTCCTCGTGCACGTAATAATCCTCGATGTTGGCTTCTACTTCCGTTCCCTCGTTTATCTGCAATAATAATCAGTCACACACGATATAAAGTGTAACATATTTAGCAAATTAAATGTTCTTAAGTATCTCTTCCGTGACAATTAACTTGATTCGATATGATAACTGTTATTTTACTTACATCCGTGTTGTAATCTCCCGCACGAACAAAATAAGTAGCTTTGTTGTAACCTTCTAAACAATGTGCCGCTGTTAGTACGTGTAGAGGTGATATAATAACAGCACCGCACCAGTGATTTGATCGACTGTGCCCTCGAACTCGAATGCTGGCCTAGATATTATTTATTAAGAATCATCTCTTTTTATCTTTTTTACACTCGTTACACAATATTTGACGCAATATTTATTTTAATATTAAATATAAGATGGCTAGATGACGACAATTCTTTATTAATTATCGTAAAATTAACGTCACATTTTCTTTGTAAAAATAATTTACCTGCCAGGGGTAGGTGCCTTTTGGTGCAACAGAGCCATGCACTACTTTCTGAAATATTAGATCTCCATCGTCATCGAAATCTTTGGCGCGCTGGCCACAATTTGACGGAAGTAGCTCATCAATGTTTCGTTCCGAATGTTCTTGACTGTTTATCCAGTATGGCTGCTTAATAAAAAGGGAAATTAGAAAATAAATAAAGATCAAATCACATAAATGTTACGAAATTTTATCAATTTTGAAGTCTAACACACAAGTAATAGTTTTTAATGTAAAAAATTGATAAAATCAATTCATTGTCAGATAAAATGTATTATTTTATTTACTTCGGTATCGTTGATATCTCCAGATGAACAAATTACGCCTGCGTCCTCATTATGATCACAATTATGTCGACCCCAATGATTATGGTCGCATCGATATAATTGCGATTCGTTTCCATGACAGAAAACCTATTTTTAAAAAATTAAGGAAATTATCTTAGAATAGATATTAATAAAATAACCGTAATGCTACCTATATTTATTGTTATTTATCAATCTTAAATATAAATTAAAAAACCTTTTACAACAGAAATTGTTCGAGTAACAAATCTCTGTTTGCGAGAAATTTCAAATTTAATAAATACATATATAAGCGACGAATGTATTACCTCATCGAGCCATATTGGTCCTTGACCAGGCCCAAAATAACCATTTTTTTTAGCTATTGCAATACCACCATATCCCAAAGATCTACAAATGACTGTTGCCGTAGCATTTGTGAAGTCATCATCGCACATAGTACCCCACACGCCGTGATGACGCACTTCTACCCTTCCTTGCAGAGGACTGCTACCATTCGCCAAGCGCAACTCGAACGGTGCCTGAAACCGAAATCGTATAAAGGTATGCAAATCTTTGTTTTTTTACTTTTCTTCCTTTTTTTACTTTTCTTACATCACAATGTTCCGAACTCTCATCGGAGTGATCTGGACAATCGACCACCTCATCGCAAATGAAAGGAATCGGTATGCAAGATAAACTATTGTCGCATTTCCATTCATCTTCCTTACAAGTGTCTTCTGCGGTCTTACATACGATTCCAACAGCTTCTTCCGGTTGACAATTATGAACTCCCCACCTAAAAACGAAAATATAAATAATTCAACTATATCAATTCTAGTATAATCGCTATTTTAATTTTAATATCGATTGTCAGTATATGACATTACAATAAATAAGACATAACACAGTCAATTTTTACCCATTAAAATCGCATTCCCGTAGTGTAGTCTCGTTTCCGCGACACTTCAACTGATCTACCATAAATCTTGTGGGTGGATCGAGATTTCCATAAAATCCACCTGGTCTAACTTCCAAAGCTCCAAGATCGAAACCAAGCTCTTTGCAGATAACATCAGCATTGATCATACCAAAACCGTCGTCACATACCTGCCCCCAATGTCCTAGAACTGTTTGACAATATGGGCATTGGTTAAAATTACACAAAGTTTTTCTTTTTTTTTTTAATTTGTATGAAAAAGTCCAAATTGCGGTTATCATGATATTGGCGAGAAAAATTTATTTTATTCCGTAGAATGTATCAAATTATGCAATTATTTGAAGACGTAACATATCCTTATTTTTGAAAAGACAGCGGGTGGGAGAAAAAATAAATTCAAAATTTATCAAAATCTTCTGTAAATATAAACTTTACCCTTGAAATTGAAAAAAAAACTTTTCGATACGATCATTTTTTGCAGAGTTATGCTTATTTAAAGTTTAAAGTTTAAAGTTTAAAGCGCGCGCGCGTGTGTGTGTGTGTGTGTGTGTGTGTGTATGTGTGTGTGTCATCACAATCTACTCGTATTTACAATTCAAATCCAATCACTTTTCGACTGTTGATTTGCTTCAATCTCA